GCCGCTCATCGGCCAGGCGAGCGGCAGGTCAAAGGAGAGAGGTATGTCGGAGCCCGTTAGCGGTGAGCGGCAGAGCGGGCACGGCAGGGGCGCGCCGGGCGTCGCGGCTTGGTGCCTCATCGCAAAGGTGCCGAGGCACGAGGCGCAGAACCGGTGTCCGCACGCGGTCTCCCGCATCGAGCCGGCGCGCGGCTGCACGAGGCAGATTCCGCACTCGTCCTCGTCGCTCTTTGACGAGTCCGAGGCCGACCCGTCGCTCTTGTCCTCGGAGGCCATTTGGTGCCAAGCGAGCACTCGCTTCCGCGCGGCCTATTTCGCCGACGATCGAGAAGAATTCAATACGCGGTACAAGCCGGGTGTGCGGTTACTGACTGCACTCCAAGTGCTCCAAGCCTCTCTCACAGCATTCATCGGCGAAGAATTCTACGAATACAAGCCCCTCTCACAGCAGACTGGCACGAACTAGCACCACAAAAGGCACAGCAGACAACGAACTAGCACCACAAAAGGCACAGCAGACAAAAGGCTCAGAAGCGGGACAGGTGGATGCCGCGCTCCTCGCACACAGCCACCAGCTCAGGCTGCTCCTTGTTGTCCACGACCAGCTTCTGCACGCGTTGGGAGGTACGATGAGCATTGGGCGGGGAAGGGGCGTGTGGCGAGGGGTGGCGTCTCGCGCCTTCAGGCTCGGGGCGGCCCCCTCCTTGAGGGCGGCGGCCAGCGCCTTGCAGCCCTTGTCGCCAATCTTGTTCCAGCAGAGATAGAGCGTCTTGAGCCGCGGCGCTGCCCCCTCCTTGCCGAGGGCGGCGGCCAGCGCCTTGCAGCCCTCGTCGCCAATCTTGTTGCCGCCGAGATCGAGCTCCTCGAGCCGCGGCGCTGCCCCCTCCTTGCCGAGGGCGGCGGCCAGCGCCTTGCAGCCCTCGTCGCCAATCTTGTTGTAGTCGAGATCGAGCTGCTCGAGCCGCGGCGCTGCCCCGCTCGCGAGGACCTCCGCCAGCTGCGCCGCCTCCGCGTCGCCCCATCCGAGGCCGCTGTAGTCCAGCTCGGTCGCCTTGCCAAACTGCTCCTCGAAGGCGGCCGCGTACAGCTGCTTCACCAGCGGCTTGTCGTCCTTGCCGTTGGTGAAGCTCTTCGACTCCAGCTCCGCCGCGAACGCAGACGGCAGCAGCGGAGGGCGCCGGCCGCCGTCCTGGGTGCAGTCGTCTCGTGCATTTCGAACGCGCCACACTGACCCCGTCGAGAGGCGGCGGCCAGCACCGCTCTTCGGCCGCCACAACCAAGCTGGTCGGCATCTTAGTTGAGGCCTGCATCAAGCTGCATGGGTGCATCGGCTGCGGACTCAACAGGTCGATCAGGCCGCTGCTGGATCTCACAGACGGCGTGCTGCTGGGGGCGGGCCCGAGACGGCTGGAAAAGAGCCGAGTGAAGTGGCGAGCCAGAGGCTGCCTGGGTTGTCAAGTGGTGGTCCATGGCTACTCTGAGCAGGGCTGTGCTTTGGTGGGGCTGTGCTTGATCATGTGTGAAGTAGGAGTCCGTTGCCGGCGCTGCCTGAGGGTAAAACAGGCGTGGAATAGCCTCGTGTGGGGTGTTATGCGCCGGTGTGAGCTTGGGGACCCGAGATAAGCGCGGCTCGGGACAGCTCGGGCTTGGTGCTGATAGGCCTGGGCCAGGAGAGCGGCATGGAAGGCGATGTGGTGAGCTGACAGGCTGGGGAGTCGGCACGTGTGCGTGTCGCAGTGAGCTGCCAAAAAGCGTTGTTTGCGGCTATTGCTCCAAACTTCGGGAGACAGGGCCTACATATTATGACTGCACCCATTGCCCTGGTGCATGAGGGCTGCGGGACGAGACATATCACGGTCGATGGCGCCGATAACGACCTCCGGAAAGGGGTCCACCGGGACAATCTCGAGGCCTCTTCGTGGCATCACGAGCCGGTGTGAGCTTGGGGACCCGATATCCGTCAATCACCTAGTGGGCCATAGTGGGCCACCGCCACCATTCTTTTTCTGCTCATAACAAATTGCCCTGCCCAACAACATATTTTAGTTACTGGGTCCTAATGGCTATGTGGGAGAAGTTTGGTCTTTGTTTCATGGGGGGATCTGGATATATTCACGGCTAAAGTTGGTGCCGGCACGGCTCCCCTAGCCGGTCTCTCGGGGCAGGCCGGGAAGAGCCTCCAGGCCTTCTGTGGAGCTTAGGTAGGGTCCCCAGCCAGCCTCAGCTGCAAGGCAGTCTCCAGGGGCCATGTAGCATGCCTGACATGACAGTGCAACCCACCCGGACACGGGTAGCGCACCAGAGAGGGCCTGTCCTCGTCGTCGAAGCCGGCGGCGGCGCGTGGCGCGAAGCGGAAGTCATCGGCACCGCCGAATCCGGAGCCTAAGAAGGGGAGGAAGAAGTGAGCGAGGAGTGCAGTCTGTGTTTTGCAAGAATGGTGACACGCGTAGACACAAGTACTAGTACGACCTGAGTACGCTCCAGGCTCCAGCCACACAGCCAGGCCAGTGCTTTGCAATGCCGCACACGCCAAAAGTGAAAACGAGCAGTGCTACGTGCGGAGTGTGGGATTACTCACGACTGGGCGTGTCGCGACCGCCGCCGCGAGGCTCGTGGCGATGGAGGCGCCGGCGCCAGCATGCGCCGCCTCCCTCAACGCCCGAAACTCGGTCACAGCCGGGGGAGCGACAGCGGCAGAGATGCGGGCCGCTGGCGACCTCACACGGCGCCAAGCGCCGTAGAGGTAGCCCCGAGAGACGCAGCTGGGTGTGTCGCGACCGCCGCCGCGAGGCTCGTGGCGATGGAGGCGCCGGCGCCAGCATGCGTCGCCTCCCTCAACGCCCGAAACTCGGTCACAGCCAGCGGAGCGACGGCGGCAGAGATGCGGGCCGCCGGCGACCTCACACGGCGTCGCACGCCGTAGAAATGACCCCGAGAGACGCCGCAAGGTGCGTCGCGACCGCCGCCGCGAGGCTCGTGGCGATGGAGGCGCCAGCGGCAGCATGCGCCGCCTCCCTCAACGCGCGACACTCGGTCGAGGCTGGCTCGAACTGCTCGAGGCCAGCTGCCTGACTTGTATTGACAGCGAGTGTGTCGCCACTCGCTCCTGATCACACGTTGAGGGGGGCGTGGACATGTTAGCCCTCGGCAGCTGCGATGCGCACACACCTGTCGCACGGATCCAGCGGTGGTGGCGATATGCTGCTCGGCGAGCCAAAGAGAGCGTGCCACCGAGAGCGTGCCACCGAGAGCGTGCCACCTAGAGCGGAGTGCGCCGCCCTCCGCAGCGGGAGTCGGTTGCGGGTGGTGCAGCGGCGCCGTGATAGAACAACAGGCGCCGGCTCGGCACGCTGAGTGCACACGCGACGCGTCGCGCGTGCACGCACTGCTCGTGCAGCGCCAAACAGCGTCCGCCAGCGCAGAGAAAGGAGCCCGTGCCGACTCGTGCACGCCTGCGACAGCTCGAGCGGCTCAGCGCGAGTGCTGGCTCACATCCGGTCGGCTCACAGTGCTTGGGCAGCCAGGCTCACCGTCGGCGAGAGCAGCTGCGAGCGACACCACGTCGAGCCAAGGCGACGCTTTCTTCCGTGGCCGCCGCGGCTCGTTTCCGCCACGCGGTGGGGTGCGGCGGAGGCCGAGGCGTGCGCCAGCCGCGCTCGAGATCAGCAGGCGGCCTGGGAGGGCGCTCACACGCCGCGACGACCTCGGCGAAGCGAGGCGTCGCGCCAGGTCATTCACGGATATATGTGCAGTTTGGGACAGCTCGGGCTTGGTGCTGATAGGCCTGGGCCAAGAGGGCGAGAGGGAAGGCGAGGTGGTGAGCTGGGAGGCTGGAGAGTCCGCGTGTGACCTTGTCGCGATGCACGTGCCAAAAAGCGTTGTTTGCGGCTATTGCTCCAAACTTCGGGAGACAAGGCCTACATATTATGACTGCACCCATTGCCCTGGTGCATGAGGGCTGCGGGGCGAGACATATCACGGTCGATGGTGCCGATAACGACCTCCGGAAAGGGGTCCACCGGGACAATCTCGAGGCCTCTTCGTGGCATCACGAGCCGGTGTGAGCTTGGGGACCCGATCTAAGTGCAGTTTGGGACAGCTCGGGCATGATGCTGATGGGCCTGGGCCAAGAGGGCGAGAGGGAAG